CTGATGAAAATTCACTATTACAAACTTCTAGCACAAATCACTGCGTTAAATATATTTTAACCACATAATATATATGATATAAGTATAATAAATTATGGAATCAAATTATCATTAAGCACAAAAGAAGTTTTACTCCTCGAACACAGACTATATATTTACATACATTTATATACATTTGCTAGATTGGTTGTCGTAGCTAGTAGTATCAGTATCATTTTTTTATTAAGTGTTAGGTTATTTTAGACATAAGAATTTTCCAATTTGTGAGCACTGCCTACATGACTGTTCATACTTGCAACACTAGGTTACAGTAAATATTGTAGTTCAAGCAGTAGCTCAACTCCATACAAAAATTCAAATCGACGCACTCGCGCAGACACGCTTAACTACAAAACTTTGGCGAGCTTATTAAAACGACAAGTAGTGTTGTTTATTCTTTATTTTGAAGGTAGTTAATTTTATTTGATTTTTTGAGTATCCTAGAATACAAATCAAATTTTAAATAAATATAAGAAAACTTTCAGTTTGAAAGAAAAACAACTTTTGAAAAAAGCGCTGGTTACAAAACTGCTTTAGCTATATATTTGCTTTGGCTGGGTAAGCAATACCGACATCCGACACACTAGCACTAGACTAGCATATTTTTTATGCTTGGCTTCCAAAGAGTAGTTTACTTGCGTACTACGAAATTCACAGCGAGCGGTTAGGTTAAGTTTTCTCCACCGTTAGTCTATCATCAGCGACCGTTGCAAGAAGACGCTGGATTTAGAAGAGAACTTAGTAAACGTAAGTACTTGTTTTTAATGTTACCTTTCTTCTGAATCAGCGAAGATAACAACTTCTAATAGCACAATGTGCAAACATACAGTCTTGGTAAATATTAGTACAGTATAAAAAAAGAAGACAACACAGATAAACTGAAGACTGCACTGCAATACTGAATTCTCCTCCAAATCCATCTGCACTTGCCTAGTTTAATCGCCATTGTCAACAATTGTTGCGATTACCGAAAAAGAAAACTGCAAGTTTGTGTTTAAATTTATTTTCCCCTATCTTAAAATACATTTCTACAAGATAAAACATATTTTCAACATGTATTTAAAATGCTACACCTCTTGTGAAATTTAAACAACAATGCATTCCAAAAAAAACTTGACCATTTATAACTAATTTACAATTACTATTAGACTTCGGTATTTAAACACAATTCAAGAACTCTCGCAAAATGAAGAACAAGCACGTACACAATAGCATATCACTTACCCCACAATTATATATTTCTATAAACCGGTTATAATCTTACCTATTTTAATGGCAAAGAAAACAAGATTAAAAAAGGACATCAACAAAATAAAAACTAGTGATGAACCTCAATGATTAATTTGTAAAAAATTTAAGATTGGACAACTAAAGATATAACTCTCTCCGACTCTCGAGTCAGATTTTGCGTAAAAACGCAATAACACAAAATTTGCTGCCAAATCGAACTAGTCGCGTGTTGATCGATAATTTCTTACGACCTGTGTAGATTCGATCGATCATCGTTACAAAAGAAAATCAATGAGATTTTTGTGACAAAGTAATACTAAGGGCTTACATTTAAATCTTCTTAAAAGCAATTAATAAAATCATATTACACTAAACATGTAGATACAAAAAGTTTCAATAATCGATCTACAATAGGTATAGAGTATAGACATAAATTGAAGGTCGTGGGTTAAATTATCTTATTCTTCAGATCAAGATCCAATCGTCATCACTCTCACGTAGCTTGAGATCGGATTGAATCAAAAGAAATCGACACATGACTAAATCGAATACTTTTACTTATACTTCCACGAAACCACATATTTGATTGGTTGTAGATACATGACAGCTTTTATTGTGCTATAATTTAGTTATATCTATTGTCCACTTAAAGTTATAGTGAAAAAAGAGCATTTTATCTCATATGCTATCAAATTCTTAAGTAAATGCTTCCCAAATTATAATTGGCATGTACATAAAATATAATATTAAATTAATATTATATTTTATGTACATGCCAATTATAATTTGGGAAGCATTTAAAGGAAATCAAGGACCTATATCACCTTTATTTTTATTGAATTAACGTAGCTAAGTAATGAAACCTTTGAAAACAATAAGTCAGTTCATTAATAATGCAGTTAAAAACAAAAATAAAAAATTTCAATAAATATTGGTATACTAGGTACATCTATTTATATTTATTTTTATAGAAGAGTGACAAACAAGCACAGTCCCATCTAATAGTAAGTACCTAGATAAACACAATTTTGTATATTCAGAAACGCAAGGAGTCAAAAACATTTGGTCAAATTTATGCTAATATTTTTTAATACAATATTTTCATAACGACCAAATTCAACCACGGCGAGAGCTTCGAAATATTACGTCATTATAGTTTCACAAGTTTACACGCTAAGTATTGTCAGGCCTGTCTCACTCCGAGCTTTAGGCATGAAAATATACCTACGCTGCGTGGCCGCCTACATAAGGCTAATTCCGTTAAGTTGTCACGCGCGCAATCGAGCTGACGCGCGTTCAACAAAAAGTTTTTTTCACTTATAAATATTTAGGCACTTTTGATATTTATTTTTGAGTTTTTATTCAAATATGGGCTCTCAAAAAGCCAAAAGGTACTGCATAGCATGCGGGTGCTTAAATAACAATAGGAATGGCAACTTTTCATTCTTTACTGTTCCTAAGGACACCGAAAGGTAAGATATTATTGTTTATAGGTAGATCTAGATAATTAGGTACCTAGTTACTGACGCCATAGTTACAGATTTATTATATGATTAGCAAACCGACCGCAGTTTTCGATTTTTACGCGTATAATCCAATGAACTTATAAAAGGCTCACTGTAAGTAGACCTCCCAGTACTAGTGACTGACAACTGATGCAAGATCAGCATAATATGCTGGTTATCAATTTAACACTTGGTCGATAAAAGAAAGAGATTGACAATAGCAGCACTTCTCATAGCCACTCTTTCATTAATAATGCATTCGCGTGTCGCATGTTTGGAAATAGCAAAAAATGTGAAACAGACAAGTGACGGCTCTGTGTCGCAGTGGCTTAGCAATGAGTTGCAGCACTAAGGGCCGCGGGTTCGAATTCCACACAGAACAAGTGTTTGTATAGCCTACAAATAATTGTTCTGGATCTGTTCTATGTATGTAAACTGTCCCTGCGATACAGGAGAAAATCCTAGTGTGGAGGTAACGTTATTTAAAAAGAGACAAAGAGAGACAACTAATGAAATTAAAAATTTTGTACAACCGACTTCAATATTAATAAGCATTATAATACTTACGCATTATTAAGGATAACTCCAAAACTACTGGTCAGATCTTGATCTTTATATGGGTTATATAAAAATTATAAGCACCAGCTTTCAAATAAAAGAATAGTCATCAAAATCGATTCACCTAGAAAAAAGTTCATAAAAATACAGTCGAATTGAGAACCTCCTCCTTTTTTTAAATTGGTTAAAAATGGTAAGTAGGTAAATTATCTGAGTTTCAAAGACGTTCACGTTATTATAATCTTAATTTTTCTAGATGTGGCATATTAAGCTGCCTCACATTGAACAATAATATTCTTATCAGCACATTACTAATAATACATTGCATAACACCTCGGTGTATTGTACTACCAACTATTATCAATGGATTCAATTTGTTTTCTCACAACACCTAACTCTACAGTAGGAGCGGCCTTAACAAATGCGCATTTTGATTTAATACGCGCGCCACATTAATTTTTTTAATCGGTAGGCTATTAAGGTCGTATCCGGAACATACAAAGTATTATGAATATTAGCGACGTTGTAACTAGGTTTAAACTTGCAAGTTTGCTATCAGAGAGTAATTTTTCTGTTTTTGTACTATTATTTTATTCTGTGGTATTATACTAAGTCTCGTGCTCGGCGGTGAAGGAAAAAATCGTGAGGAAACTTGCATGTCTAAGAAATGAGAAAAAATATTTCGAAGACATGAACACGCCGCACGCACGAAGTTCGCCAACACGCATTGGGGCAGCGCGGCGGATATTTCGTTGCCCTAAAACACTCTCAGTAATGAGAGGAGGCCTGTGCCCTGCAGTGGGACGTAAATAGGCTGCAACTTTTATACTAAGCCTCTCATCATAACTTACCCAAATTTGATAACATTAATGAACTGACTTTTATTTTAAGGTACATATAGTTTAGCTACTTCATTAGACCAGTTTACAATTAATCTTTTATGTTACAATCATACCAAGCAAGATTGATGTAGGTGGCCCCATCTTGCTTGCCCATTTTAAAAATAAAAAGGACGTGAAAATGGTAATTAGTCCATGTTTCCAGGCATTTATTGTAAGTGGCTATTGTAGTGGGCTAAGTTAAAAAGTGTAGATTGCCATAATATACTAGATTTCAATAATCTGGAATTAGGTACAACACAATTGTTTTAACATCTGGGAAATCGGTATTGTTAAATTTGGGACTAATAGATTCAGATATAAACGAGTTGAATGTAAATTCAAGAAAAACAACTTCCTTCTGCGTGAATCCCATATCTCTGGTGCCCTTTGACTTACAGGACCCAAATTCAAACTCGACCGAGCTACCACCTCAAGGTATCCACATACCAAATTTAAAGTCAATCGGTCCAGTGGAACGGAAGTTATCGTGTCGGCATACAGACTAACAGACTGACAGCTAAAACCATTAACTTCCTTTCAATGCTACGCAGAAGGAAGTTAACAAATGAAAGTCTGGTCTGGAATCGAAATAATTGTACGAAATTTGGTCTCGAATGGAATAACAGACAGTTCTCGTAATTAACACAAATAACAATATTTTTAATGCATAAAAACGAACAACTGCGTAAATACAAGAGCTATAATTGTAGATTTATCGTTTTGCAGATTTAAATTAAAAATAAAACCATACGTACGCATATTTCGATTCACTTTTCACATCACGTATTTAATAACGATAGTTATAATTATATTGGTTTCCGTTTCCACGTCCATCGTAGTCATAGCTGTTTCCAGTATTCCTATAAAATTGCGAATGGTGTGTAACTTCAGATTGCTTCAGTGTCTTCGCACGCGCCGCTAGTTGTGAAACCAGCTGTGCAGGAGTGAGGTGCGCAATAGAAATTGGCGCACTGTCCGAAACGCTTCCACTCGGGTTGAAAATCGCCTTAGAACTAATCAAATCTTGTTCCAAAACTTGAGTGTGAACTGTGGTGGTGAAATCCTCGCGATCGATAGACGTCCCTATTTCGTAAGATTGGGTTGATTCGCGAATCTGGCAAACTTCACAAAACGGCTTTATTGTTTGTACTGCTGCATCCTTCATACCATTTCGAATTTTCTTCGATGATTGCGAGACTTTATTTTTAAGTCCTAACGTTGAAACTATGCTGTCTATTAGTTGTTTGTTTTGGTGCACAGTTTCCACTTTACCACTTGTTTTTGTAAAGTAGAAATCTACTGTAGCTTGTCTCTTTAATGGAGAACAATATTTGGGTACAAGACGCTTGGTTTCTTGGCCAATGAGATCATTGTCTATTAACAAACGAGCAGGCAATGTTAATTTACTAAGCTTATTCAATGCTTCACGGCAGCGCTTTACCACTGTGGATATAAAATGTTTATGTGAGTACAATTCATTTTATCAATTCAGTCAATCACTAAACAATGTTTTCTGAGAAATAGAGCAACTGCAGTATCAATGATACTTGGCTCCTCAAAAATTTTTGATTAAATTCATCCCTCACATACATGCTACCTTTGCTGTGGTTTGACAATGGCTGGGTACCTGTTTAAGCTTAAAGGGAGCATGTTATCACGCACATTACTTATTTTTTATATATATAATATATATAAGAGGGGACAAACAAGCATGGTAAGTGACTATCGCCGCCCATGCACAACTGCAATACACAAGGGGAATTGCAGGAGCGTTGTTGGCATATTAAAAAGAGTAGGCTCTTTTCTTTAGTCACCTATTTAACTAATCAATCATAGGGTAAGCTACAGTTTATTTGGTAATATTAAATACTAACTTTTCCGACGATTATGCTCATGTGTTCATGTGCACTTATTACCATTCTTATAGGTAAAACAACACACTCAACTAAAAGTTTTTTCTTATTACAGTTTTGTGGACGAAGCAGCCAAATTATGTTGCCACTGATATTATATTGCAATATATTTTTTAAATTCTATATTTGTATATGTTATTTAAAAACTTAACGCACAACAATAGGTGATAATTAAATCTAAAGTTCTTCATCCCCTGATAACTAAAATAATGACCATACTCCCTGATGACTAAAATAATAATCAGCAGTTTTTTTTCCATGATAATGAAACATATTTCAACACACAATTTGACTGACCATTCGAAACACAGAACACTTAACTTAGAATACTATTGATATTATTTTGTATACTAAGAGTGCATTGAATGCAGGTGATAAACATTATATTGTTAAAATATGTTCATCCGAATTGTGTCATACCAGAAATGCAAAAAATATACCATAAATTTACCACATGCCAGTTTTTAGTTTAAAAGTCACTCAACTATTTAATAGCTTGCTCCAATTTGTATGCTAGTCAAGTAAAATAACTTTTTAAACGCAAACAATACAAAATACATTAATTATTGATTACCCACCCTTAACTCTCAATTGTGTGTCTACAGCACTTTCAATAATTGTACCTGAAATGCAGATATCCATTTGTATAAATTCGATAATATTATTCACCCATTTTAAGTTTTTGATATAACATGTTATATTTTTCTTAACATTAAATATAATTTACATCTCTTACCTTTATTTGGTGCCAGTTTGAGATAATCTTCTTTAGAAATCTTGCCTTCCACAACCAACTGAAATTTTTTATTTTGTAAAAATTATGCAAAATTGAAGCTATCCATAATATATTAAATATTCATGTAAATATTTGTATAATTGAAGTATATTTACTTTTGCTAAGGCGTCAAATGGTTTTTCCTGTGAATTTGGTGGATCTAAGACTGCAGCAGTAACAGCAGGATTTGCAGGAGTACTTTGCAGAGGTGGAGGAACCATGGCTGGAGCTGAATTCATGACTGGTGTAGAGACAGCCTGCACCAAGCCTACATTGGGTGGTGCTGCATATTCATATGGAGCATTATAACCAACATAAGATTCACATTGAGAATATGAATACTGTGGTGCTCCAGGATATGCAGTTAACCCAGGGTTTGTATAAAACTCTGCTTGTCCAGTTTGGTATAGGTTTGGGATTGGTTGAGCCTGATTTAAAGAATGATGTTCATTTGGGTATAGAAAGGTATCTTTCTGTTGAGCTGATGGTGAGTGCTTCTCAGTATAAGAATATGCCACAGGTGATGGTGAATGAAATTCTCTCCTATGTTCAAATGGGCTCTGCCGAGATGGACTTCGATGTAAAGGACTATATCGTGGTCTACTACCACGTCTTTCACTGATGCTTGGGCTATAGTGTCTTCTTGGTCTCTGACTCGGTCGGTCGGGACTATAACGACGAGGCTTCAGATGATGATTGATATAATAGGTGTGTCGAGGACTGCGGTGAATGCTGCGTCTTTCCTTATGCTGATAATATCTTTTTGGCGAATCTCTATATTTCATTTCTATTGATGGGCGTTTCGAATAGTGCGCTACTGGACTTTTCGATATATTTATTTTTTTGGTAGGAATTGTTGGTTGGTTTAGAAAATCATCAAGCTCCGTTCCAGGAGGTTTAAGATCATCAATTGAATCCAAATGTTTGCTTAGGTATTCTTTTACTTTCACCTGCTTGTCTTTTCTAATTGCTTCATTGGTTTTGCGAAGGTCTCGACGACTACCAGGTTTAATATAGTAATCCAAGTGACTTGAACTGCTCTCGCGCCGTTTGTCGTTGGTATGTCTTTTATACGAAGTATCACGGTCATATCGCTTCCGTTTGTATCTATTTTCATATTTTTCTTGACGACGACTTTCTGTTTCATCTCTTCCATCTCTGATGAGCTCCCGTAGATCTCTAACGCCATCAATTGCTGCAGCGTCAATGCGACTTCGGGAACTACGCTTCTGGACCCCTTCTTCAACATCCCAGCTGTCTATTACACTAAGACCTTCTATAAACTCATCTTTACTAAAGTCATCAAAAAAATCACTTGGAATGTCCTCATCAGACAATTCTTCTTTTCTTTGTGACTCCATGTGAAGAAAACAAAACAGAACGCGGTTAAATATATTCTTACCTATAAAATAAATTACTTTACTACAGCTTAAAATACAATTAAATTGCCGAACACAGCACTCTTATTTTGGTGGTCTTCTGAGTTTCAAACCCTAAAACTGAAGAAAATACATATTACAAAATAGAAAACACACCATTCTCCCTCCCTAAGAATTCCCTGCACTAAGGGTATTAGTGTTCTGTGTTAATAAATATGCAGTTATACAGTGCCCTATCAATCAAAGAGTATAATAACTGTCCTATACAGGCTATCAATCTTGTACATACAACTTTATAATTTGTGGTGCCTATTGATCACTGACTTAGATTCACTGACTTAGAAGTATATAGACTGGGCATACCAAAAGAATCAGCGTGACTACGTAAACAATTCTGGCGCATAAAATGGCCGCCTTTTATAGAGTTGTAACTCTGCAATATGGGCAGCTGATATCGATATTTTTACGAATATGAGTTTGTTCTTATTTCATATAATTATAGAAATTAAATCCATAGCCTAATTGCGTAACACACCTTAAATGGCAAACCATACCAATTTGACAGTTTAACAACATCCATTGCATGGTTTTTGTTGTCGAGCAAACTAATTTTTCAATCACATGAAGCAATGGATATTGTTGGGTTGTTAAATTAGTTTTGGATTGCTATCCCTTAAATTTCGCTTGAGCTGCTTCACGAGGCTTCACCATATATGTACACTTACGTAATACACACTCTGCTACAGATTTTTTGTGTTAGGTACACGGTCAAACAATGAGTTAAGTATGCAGACGACAGGCTAACTCAAGTTTTGAAGTTATACTTCTTTTGGCGCGGTTGAGAAAAATGATGAGAGTGAATTATTTACAACTTCAATTGGTTGTTGTCTGTCAATTGTTAAGTTTTCCTGAGAACTGATAACTATATTCGAGGTAGTTATTCAAATATATATGAATTTATAAAACGTGTTTTATTTAAGTTATTTTTGTTTTGTTACGCTAAAGTAGTATAACTTCTTACGTGCGTATATAAATAAACACACACGTTTTGTTTTATATCAATGTGAACAACGTTAAAAAGTTATAAGGCACACAATAGAAATTAATATTGACAGAGTGGTGTGAAAATAAATATTTTTGCTTGTATACCAAATACCTTTGTTTACTGTACAATAATATTGTACAGTAAACAAATGTATGGAGATGGGATGGAGATCCTTGATTCCACATTGTAATCCTATATTATAATATTTTTAATATAAAATAATAATGATTAGTTGAGTAAAAATTAAATAAGCTGTTTTTAAAATCAATACTTCATCATCATCATCATTACAGCCCTTCACAAGTCCACTGCTGAACATAGGCCTCCCCCAAAGAATGCCACAAAGCACGGTCCTGAGCCACCTGCATCCATCGACTTCCTGCATGTCTTACCAGGTCGTCACTCCATCTAATGGGGGGACGCCCTACACTTCGCGTGCCGGTACGAGGCTACCACTCGAGAACCTTTCTTCCCCATCGGTTGTCGGTTCTTCGTGCTATATGGCCGGCCCATTGCCACTTCAGCTTACTAATCCGTTGGGCTATGTCGGTCACTCTGGTTCTACTGCGGATATCCTCATTTCTGAGTTTATCACGCAGAGAAACTCCGAGTCTAGCCCTCTCCATAGCTCGCTGAGCGACCTTGAGCTTCCTCATCCGGCCAGCAGTGAAGGACCACGTCTCAGTTCCGTATGTCATCACTGGCAACACGCACTGGGTGTACAGTCTCGTTTTCAAGGTTTGAGGTATACCTGACGAGAAGATGTGCCGTAATTTCCCGAACGCTGCCCAACCGAGTTGAATCCGTCGATTGACCTCTCGGTCGAAGTTGGACTTACCTAGTCGGACTATTTGTCCCAGGTAAACATACTCGTCAACAACTTCGATCTTAGTGTTCCCAACAACTACCGGCATAGGTGTGACATGGACATTAAACATGATCTTAGTTTTGTCCATGTTCATCTTAAGACCTATGCGTTGGGAAACACTATTGAGGTCATTGAGCATAGTGCTTAGGTCCTCCAGCGATTCTGCCATAAGGACTATATCGTCGGCAAATCGAAGGTGAGTGATGTACTCGCCATTGATGTTGATACCGCATCCTTTCCAGTCCAGAAGCTTGAAAACGTCTTCCAATGCAGCGATGAAGAGTTTCGGGGATATGACGTCACCCTGTCTTACACCTCTCTGCAATTGGATAGGTTTCGTACTCTGGTTCTGTACTCGGATAGCCATCGTAGCCCTACTGTACAAGCACTTCAACACTTCGATATACCGACAGTCAACTTGGCACCGCTGAAGGGACTGCAGCACCGCCCAAATTTCGACGGAATCAAAGGCTTTCTCATAGTCCACATACGCCAGACATAGTGGCAAATTGTACTCTTCGGACTTCTGTACAATTTGCCGAAGGGTATGTATGTGGTCTATGGTGCTAAAGCCCTTTCGGAAACCGGCTTGTTCGGGAGGCTGGAAGTCGTCAAGTCTGCGCGCGAGACGTTTCGTAATGACTCTCGAAAACAGCACGTAGACGCGGCTCAGAAGGGAAATCGGTCTGTAGTTCTTCAAGAGAGCGTTGTCACCTTTCTTGAAGAACAAGACCACCGCACTTCTGCTCCACGCCTCCGGTGTAATGCCACCATGGAGGACGGAATTAAAGAGCTTCTGAAGGACTTCAAGTACCGGTTTTCCACCCACTTTCAGAAGCTCCGCTGTAATTCCATCCTCGCCTGGGGCCTTACCGTTTTTAAGGTGCTGGAGAGCCATTCTAATCTCGCTCAGACTGACGTCCGGGATATCTTCGGAATAGTGTCGGATGAGACTCGCTCTTGGATCGTTACTCACACTTGCGTGTGGCTCCAACGATGACGTGTACAACTGCCCATAGAACCTCTCAATCTCACTCAAAATCTCAGGTGTCCCGGAAACGATGCTGCCACATTCTGTCTTCAGCTTTGACAGTTGGCTCTTTCTGGCAGACAGATTTCTGGCAAAGACTTTGGAGCCTTGGTTCCGCTCGATCGCTTCTTCAATACGAGCTGTATTGAAGTTGCGTAAGTCCCGCCGCATGCATTTGGAGATCTCTCTGTTCAGATGCCTGTATGCTGTCAAGTCTGTTGAAGAATGTAGCTTCATCTCCCGTCTAACAGCCATGAGATTAAGAGTGTGATCGGAGAGTTTTTGTGTTCTTCTGCGGCGGGTCTTTCAGAACTTAGCTCCGACCGCATGGACAGTTTCCACGAGCTTGTCATTCATATCGTCCACTTCATTGCAGTCTTCTAGGCACTGAAAACGGTTTTGTAACTCGAGCTGAAAGGTTTCGGGACTTTGGATTAGAGCACGAGGGGGACGGAGCGTTGACTTCATTAGACGAGACCTCTCCAACTTAACGTTTAGGTTCAGTGTGCCTCTAACCATTCGGTGATCGCTACCAGTTTTCACCCTCGCGATCACGGAGACATCACTGAACAGTTGTCGTCTGGTCGTCATAATGAAGTCAATCTCATTTTTTGTGGAACCGTCGGGGCTCGACCAGGTCCACTTCCTGTGGGGCCGCTTCTGGAAGAAAGAGTTCATCATAAAGAGTCCCTCTTTCTCCATGAAGTCGGCCAGCTGCTGGCCCCTTGGGTTCCGTTGCCCTATTCCAAATTTCCCTACTTTCAGCTCACCGTTCTCTCTTGTGCCTAGTTTTGCATTGAAGTCTCCCATTAACACCGTATATTGGGTTTTGGAGGAATGCATGGCTCTAGAGATATCCTCATACATTTCCTCCACCTCCTCATCGGGGTGTACCGAGGTTGGTGCGTAAACCTGTATGACCTTCAGCGAATACCGTTTGGTGATTCTGAGTATAAGGTACGCAACCCTCGTCGACACACTCCCGATCTTTACAACGTTGTTAACGAGAGACTTGTGGACGATAAATCCGACACCTCCTTGGGACAGATGGTCGCCCTCCCGGTGATAGAGCAAGTTGCCGGATTCGAGGATTACCGTGTCCTCCCCCTCTCTTCGGACTTCAGATAATCCTATAATATGCCAGCGCAACTTGTCTATCTCTTCTTCCAGCTCCACGATCTTCTCATCAGTCCTCAGGGTGCGTGCGTTGTACGTTGAGTCGTAGGTCCAGGTCGAGTCGTCTAAGGTGGCAACCGAACCTCCACCGGAGATTCTTAGCACCCCCTCGACCAGGTCCACTTCCTGTGGGGCCGCTTCTGGAAGAAAGAGTTCATCATAAAGAGTCCCTCTTTCAATACTTATTTATTATTAATTGGTAAAAAACGTTCTACAGATAATTGATCACAAATGTTAAGTGATATAATCATGTTCGGTTCTGTCGGATATCATATTTAATTTTTTTTTAATTCAGATTTTAAATGAAAAATATTATTATTATCGCAGGTACATTAATTTTATTCATTTAAAATTCGAAAATCTGGCATGATCATGAAACGGTGGATGAATATGATATCCAGGATTTATAAGCTATTATTAATATTCATTTAGCTTAATTTCTGAACAAAATTAATTTATTAAAATAATTTCTATCGACACCACGGATAAGAGTGTACAACACTATTTTACTGCTTTTTTGACAGTTTGACAGCAGATCTACCTCAAAACTTGGCGCTTAACGTGGCGGCGCAGTCACGCAAGGGTGAGCTAATGACGTCACACTAAAGTATTACCAAAATAAGCACTTTACAAACTGTAGATATCTCTCTTTCTATTGCAGCTACTGCTTTGTTAAAAAGAGACAAAACTGTTTTTGACAAGTGTGTGTCGATATTATAGATATTTGTATAACTATTATTTCTATAGTGGAATATGCCCTCTCCATCATAGACATAGTATATTACCTCTATCTACGCTCTCCATAGGTATATATCTCTATGCTTAGACTATTGATTATGAGTTATGACATTGACATATACTCT